ATTTGTCTTAATGAGGTTTCACTCTTTGAAATTCAATACGCTAGATGTTAAACTTTCTCTTGATAATATGTTGAGTTGATTTTAAAATTTTTTCCCCTATCCTCTTATTTTTAATTTTCCACTTAACAGACTCATGTGACAATCATAAACCCCTTACTGAAACGTTTTTTGGATTAATGGAACAGGATTCTTACATTTTATCCTCTATTTTTTTTTTAAATAAATAGACTTTTTTTGTTTAGATCATTTAGGTAAACTCATGTTTCTTCAAGAGGTACAACATATTTCCATTTATCTCCTGCTAAATAGTCTCCATACAGGGTTCTACAAACTGTTCTGTGTTGAGCCACATGCCTTGGCAAAAACTCACGAACATTATGTTTTTTAAATCTTTTTTAAGTTTCAAATCTTGATTTATTATTTTGTTTATTGTTAATACAAAGGTATTTTAGGTCTTTGCAAGTGTAGTATGTAAGTCTTTGCAAGTGATTTCTGCATTGGCAAATTTTCTCTTGTTAATGGTATTAAGAAACAGTATATACCTTTTCTGGGTATTTATTTGGAGTCTTCTTTCCATGTAGGACTGACTGTTTATTTCCTTTCCGATTAATAATGCTGCTTATTTTGCACTTAGAAATTTTAATACCATGCATTTCACGTTTTTGAAATATGGAATAGGAATATTTCTCTTTCCAAAGCACAAAAACATATTTTTCAATCCCCAGCTCGTTTACATATGGCATTTTAATAGACAAATAAATTAAATAGCAGGCAATACTTTTTATTTAAAATAATAAGCTGTTGCCAGAAAACTTTATTCCAAAATATTTGCTTTTTTAAAAAAAATTCTTTATCTAAATCGTTCTAAAAATGTGTAAACATCCATTGCAGATATTTAAAAAGACATGGATTTTCTTACCTTCTGCTGCACTATTTTTTGATATAGTTTAAAAAGATATGGATTTTAGTACCTTCTGCTGGATATACCTTAGATATGGATTTTAGTACCTTCTGCTGGATATATTTTAAATATGAATTTTAGTACCTACTATTTTTTGATAGAACACTTTTTGTTTGCACTGTCAGGCATAAATTTATGGAAATTTCAGGAAGAAAAGTAAGGGAATTCGTATCGAACAATTAAAATGGAAAAAATTTATTTCTTGATGCTTTTAAATAGTATTTTTTTTATTCTTTGTAAGAACTAAATTTTAATTGATGGAAGTAAAATAAAGATTGCAAGATCTTTTGTAAGTTTTACTGAAACAAAAAGTAAAATCTGCAAAATATTTCGGTTATGATTTTGCATACATTAATGAACAACTGAGCTGATGTACAAACCTGTACAGGATGAGTATACGATAATATTCTAGTAATGTTTAATCAATATACTGCCATTTAAGGACAAAATTAATAAAGAAAATGCCATACATACAACTTTTAGTATATGTTCACATTTCCTTCCCCCCTTTCTTTGATAGGATATTCTGATTTCAGTCCCTGGTCAACATGTCAAGCATGTAGTTAAAAGCTTGAATGTACTTTAAAAGGAAGTTGATGAAAATACAGGAAATATTATTACCAAAGAACATTTAACTGGTGAAGAAGAAAAGCAGATGCTGGCATGCTGACTTTTGTGCTTTTTGAGCTTTAATGGGCATACGAATCTGTCCTAGATATTAACAATACACAGAAAGGTCCAGTCCAAGGAATTTTGCTGTGTATGAAACAGCATATTTTCCCACCCCCTTGCCAGCCTAACATGTTAATTTTGGATAGGATATTAAAATGAATGTATGCATAAAGACAGAGCTCCACTCTATAAAAATAAGCAGGAAAATAGAGGCTAAAATTCTAAGTAATATTCATATTACTTGAACATTTTGATCAATTGTCAATAACATGAATGGCATCGGACAGAGCTACAAATGAGAAATCCTCAGCTTCTATTCAGCCTGGCCAGGGTAGTTTTTATCAGTATTATTAACTCTTTTAATTATTTCGCTTTGAAAGAAAATTCAAAAACATTAAAAAAATTAATAATGTAAAATGAACACGTATACATACAAGACAGGATTCAAGATGTGTTATTATCAGTCCATTAGAATAATCACTCCTGGACATCATGAAGTATTTTAGGCTGTAGCCATGTAAAATACTGATTGCAGCATAATTAGAGATCATCTGACAGTATGTATGTAATCAATGTTAATTTAAAAAACTCACTGTGGATGCTTTTAGAGCCATGTCTATGAATGCTATGCCTGAAAATGAATACTATGATAAGAATAGTATTCATTTTTTTACATAATATCTTGCTTACTTTTTTCATTTGATTTTAAATAAATGTAACACACTTTTAGTACAAGAAATGAATGTTTATATTATTTAGTTCCATTTTTCACTACTATTTTTATTATGTACCTATATAATTCCAATCTGCTATGCATAGAAATTTAATACATTCTTTCCAACATCCAACTATGTATTTTAACTACAGGTTAATAGTCTTTGATTTTCTCTGGTAGATTTCATTTTACTAGTATTACTTTTATTGATAATTAGTTATTAGAATACTTTTATTCATTTTCATATGAAGTATATATTTGCCCATTAAATTAATTTCAAATGGCTATTCATTTCCCCTATTCAGAAAACTTATTTTTCATTTACCGTATAATATTAACTTCAGAAGACTATGCTTATTTGTATGCTCTTCAAATTTTAATTAATTAAAAATTACTATTTACATTTTGCTCCTTGTACATATTATTTAGTTAATTTAAATATTCTTTATAGTTTATTTAAATATTTTATATAGTATGTTCAACATTTATATAGATAAACTAAATAACATTATTTTCAGAAATAAAGAATTAAATAGCAATTAGCTAAAAGTTAGTAGGTTCATAAATAAAATTAATTTTAACAGTAAAAAAAAAAAAAAGAAATTTAAATGTAACTGTAAGGGAACAAAAAATTTTCTGTAAAAAATATAATTAAATAATAAAAAGAAGTTTCAAGATTAAATAAACCTTACAAAAATGAAATTTTCAGAATATGTTGACACCATTTACACACTTATTTAATGGGAATTTATTAGTACTGTTATCATCCTTACCATTCATCCTGAGTTGTATAAACGTTATTATATGCTAAGAAACAACAAGAAAGTAATTCAGTCATAAAAAATTAAATTTAGATTAAAATGCATGCAAAATTCGATTTATAATCACTATACATATTCAAGTGAAAAATCTTGAAATAAAATAAATGGAAAAAAAAAAAAAAAAGATTCATAAGAGAGCAATAAAGAATCAAGATTTACAACAGGGCAGAAAATAATAATCCTAAGAAATCAAGATTTACAACAGGGGAAAATATAATAATCCTATATTTATAATCTATTTATCGTATGTACTTATAACCATATCAACATAAGGAATTTTAGAACTGAAAATCCACTGTGAATGCAATCTTGGGTACTCTTATGTTATTGGGACCAGATTCTGAAATGTATGTATGTATATATGTGCATACATATGAGTGTGTAAACACACACATAGTACAGTCAAAAGTCGTTAATCCGGACTCGTCGGGACTTCGGCGATTCCGGATTATCGATTTTTCCGGATTATAGATCATCAGTTTAAATCGCGTTAGCTGGCATGCAGAAATTCTAAAATTAAAAATATGAAACCGTAATTTATGAAATAAAGAACAATTATGATCTAAAGGGTATCAAAATTTACATAGCTTAATATTTATTTGTTTACTTTCAATGTAAGTTGTTTTCTTTCAATGTAAGTTGTTTAAGTTGTTTCGGTTTATGTGATAATACTTTCTCTTTAATTCTATAAACAGACATAATTTTTTGTTCAGTTACAAAGTTCCGCTGTTCAAGTTCCGTTAATTGCTGTGCCGAGAATACCGACTAACTTGTTAATCGAAATTTTTTCGTTTTCACTAACCTCTCTGTCACATTCTTCATGTCTTTATCCATTTTTTGCAGCAATTCCACTTTTTGTTTGATGGACATCGGAACATACTTTCGTTTTGTAGATCCTTTGGGAGCTCCAATATCGGAAATTCTATTTGACATAATCGAAAGTTCAAGTTTACTTTTATAAAATTGCTCTTACAGTCTGCAAAAAATAATAAGCCGGAAATAATTCGAAGATTAAGGAACAACGCAATCATCAACATTAACTGAAATAGATAATTTTAGCATATACCATCCTTTATACATAAAACGCGCACGCGAAAACGTATTCTGCGCTTGCGCACACGCAAATGCGCAGTCGTAAGGATGTCTTACGCGCAAACACCTATGCGCATGTGTCAACGCAGCGCATGCGCAAAAAGTTTTTAGCTTTGAGGTCCGGATTATAGATCATTCCGGATTATGGGTGTCCGAATTAACAACTTTTGACTGTATATGCACATACATACATATTCTCAATCAGGCCCCGATAAAAGAATAATACCCAGTCTTGCTTATATAGGGCACAGGTAGAGAGAGATCTTTAAAATCAGAATGAAGGAACACGTTAAGTACATAAAAATGAAGGAAGTCTAAAGGTCTTCATTTGTTTCTCAACAATGAGATAAAAAAATAAATTCAATTTTCAGAAGCCAAAAATTATTGCTTGCATTAATTCACCTTTCAATTTGGATTTCCTAGAAACTCCAAAATCTATTTACAGAATAATCTGGTCAATGGCATATGTTCCACTCTGTTTTTATTGCATTTTTACTATTTTAGGGTTCACCTTTCTGTGTTTGATTTTTTATTTCAAATCTCATGGGAAACACATCATAATTTTTAATATGATTATCATAACAATGACACAGACAATAATGGATTCCTTCTAACAAAACTGCAGTCAGAGATATTTTCCTCTTTATTTGTGATAATTTTTACATTTTTCTGCTATTTAGTTACTTTAAACTGGACAAAATTATTTTCCTCAACAAAATCTTGTCCAAAAAATACTCACTCTTTATTTTTATTACTCCCATCATATATACCAGTCGGAAGTTGCTGTATGAATCCTATTCTTTTAGCAATCTTAATCTGTTCATCTTCAGTTAGCTGTGAAATCGGTCTTCCTATATTTGGTGACACAAAGAATACAGGTTCTATTGTCCGATCCTATAGAGAGAAATCCTTTATGTAGAAAATATTTTATTAATTTACAATACAATCTATTGGCCAAAACATAAAAATAATATTATTATAAAGTAATGAGTAATGAAGAGGAGGTAATTGATGAATCAAAGAATGAACTAACAGACATATTTTATAATGCCTAATTCACTATTATATCTTATATGATATTTAAATACCAAGAATTTATCATCATCACATTTATAAAAAATTGTAAAAATCATAATGGTGATAATGTAATCATGTGTAAAGTTTAGTTTTGTAGATGCAAACTATAACTAGGTGATTTATATCACAGATGCTGTTGCAATGACTGGAATTTTGTACCAATACAGTATGGAGCAGAAAAACTTATAATAACACTGAGCTTGCAAGAGTAACTCATGCTTTTAAAAGTTTAAAATGGTAAATGACAAGGAATACATCAGATCCTTTACAGAATGAGTTTGATAAAGACAGCACTGTAGCTACAGCTAGCAACACTTGCTAAGTGCTTACGGAGGATACAGTTGATGACAGATCATGTCAGAAATTTCAGGACAGAGTCAAAAAGTGTAAATATCAACCAAGTTTTGGATGTCATTCACTGGTTTTCCGACAGGTTCTAGACCAAAACATAAAAAATGACTTCAATCGAATTAATCAGCATCTCACAAATAAGGAAAACATCTACAGTATACAAAAGAGGGATGCAAACATATGGTTTCATCCGAAAATTCCAGTGGGTTCCCTGCTGGTTTTTTGTAAAACTTCAATGAGAGTCAGCATTTGTGTTTCTTTGCTAACCCATTATAGAAATGAACCATTTTTAGAACAGCCTGTAATTAGACATGGATACCATAATGTCAAGTATTGAAGAATCATGCACCAAGCTGCACAGCTTATACCATCAACCTCAAAAAGAGAACTGCAGACTAAAAATATTTCGCTATATGTACGGTAGGATGTCAGGGAACTATTCTTCTGAGAAGTGCTTGTACTAAGACAAATGGTAAATGAGGACAAAATATACTAACAGATTTGAAAGATTACAAGAACGGACATTTAAGCGACCAGCTTCATCGATCTCAAAGGTATTAGTTTTCCTCATGATAATGCAGATTTTACATTGCTTTATATTGTTAAGAAAAAGAACCTCTACCAGACAAATGGAAAAAAAGTCATGCATATGATGGCAATTACAGGAAATCATTGGCATTACATTTTATTGCATTCTCCTCCTTTATTTTCAATTAAATAACATATACAACTTTTGTATCTATATAATTTAGCATTAGTAATTAAAAAGATAAGTAGTTTTATAATAGCTGTAACATTATCTCCCTCCCCCTGGGGGGGGGGAAGTCACAACATCAGGACTTAAATCCACAGCACAATTACTTTATCAAAATCTTACACTTCAATAAAGACAGTATGAATGCAGAAACTAAACAATAAATATTCTAAAACCCCTTTCAATACTATTTACTCAAAGGTGATAATCATTAATTAATGCAGAAATGTTAAAATTCAAAAATAATAAATCAACAAAATAAGTAAGGCCAAAAAATATACGTATTAATGCATGGATTACAATGGTTCATAAATGCATCATGAATGTATTTTAAATTACAATATCATCACGAATTAGTCAAAAATTTTAAATCACTTTCAATCCTAATTTAAAAACTTTAAATAATTTTAAATCACTCATTGGTGTTGTTAAATTTAATAAAATTGTTAAACAATATGCAACTGAGGTATGTTTTCGATTTAGCTACCATAACCATTGAAAGCATTTCTGGAGATAAATTTGGAAGTTGCAGCAGACTATTATAAATTTTTTGCAAGGGAAGAATAGTATACAAGTTTTCAAAATCATAACAGTTCATTTCTTTAATTTTAGAAACAATTGTTAAGTTAATGATCCAACATAAATTATGTTCTTTTCTAACACATTAAATATTAAATCAACCCTTTTGAGCTGTTTTGCAAATAAATAGTCAACATACTTTTTATAATTTTTTAATTCCATTGGCCATATATCCGAATTTAAGTGGTGGTGTATGGAATTTGGGAACAGCATAGACGTTAGAAAATTTATTGTTTTCAGTAGGAAATGAAATTTTAAGTTTGTGGTGGAAAGCTTAAGCTTGTTTATAATAGAGATTTCTTTTTCAGTGGTTTTTTGGTAACTGACTGATTGAGTTCTTCCACAATAGTACACTTTTACTATCTAAATTTTTTTTCACATAAGAGAGAATCTAACCTTTTATATATTCTTTATTAAAATTATGTATATATGTATTTACTATAAAAATATGTAAATCAGCTTTATAATTTAATTTAATAATAGCCTCTTAATTCCTCATTTTTAATTTGGGTATTTCCTCTCTGTATTCTAAGAACTGTAATAACTTTCCTGGACTGTGTCATTTCTAAATCAATCTACGACACATGGCTTGCGTAATGCTGATGACATATCTGATTCGGAACTCAAAATTTTGAGGACTGAAAACTTTCTGACCTAAGCCAAAGCCAAAACCTTCCTCTTTGTGAGCTCCCATATTGGAAAACTGTGCACTTAGATTCTGCCTCTCTTCTAATTAAAGCGGTATTTTCCTTACTCTCTTTTTACTGCAGCAGCATTAAAAAATGTAAATGTTTTTCAATAGGCATAATAAGAGTGCCAATAAATTGTGGCCACAAATTGTCAATTTAAATAAAAATGGAATTTAATCTGCCTTGACTGGCAAGTTTCTTCTTCAATATAGATCTACGTGCTACGCCATCAATATTGCTATACCTTTTTTCATCATATGTATACGTATATATTTTTGAAAGGAAAATTCAAATGGAATTTTGTATTTCAAATGAAAATACTACTTTTCTTGTTAAAATTAGACAAAAGTTGAATTCCTTTCCTTATGAATGATTTGATACGTAAAATGTGTATTAAAATGTAATTAGGATTTTTTAAGACTTGATTAATTAAAACTCTTAGAAAATATTCATAGATTATTGGCCGCAAATAACAATAAAACAGAATAAAAGATTGCATTCTTAAGTTATGGTAAAGAACCCCAGGGATATTTGCTTTAGCTAACAGCATGAAATGGAATTCTTATTGTCTAATCAATAATGATAGCTTAATTTCCATAAAAAATTCAATACAACACTAAACAAACTCTAGTATAATGATATTATTATCAGCTTCAATAACATAATTTAAGAAACTCATAATAAAATACAAATAATTTTAAAACTTAAGCAGTGAGAATCAGTTACAACTTGAGTGCAATGTGAAATCAGTTATGATGTCAAAATAGTGAATTTTTTTAAAGCAATTAAGTAAAAACAGATCACTGTGTACATAAGGAGAACAATAGTCTTGTTCTCTCCATAGGCACAGTGAACTGCTTTCATTAAAAAAAATTACAATATTGAACAAATTTGGCATTGTGTACATTTAACATAATATACATTACATCATTATATGTAATATAGTTATTCTTTTCATGAAGCTTTATGTACCATCAGAGTTCCCACTAGGCCTGGATTAACCAGTAAGCAATATAAGTGCGTGCTTAGAACAACAAGAAAAGGGACACCAAAAAAATTTCATATTGCCGGTTTGACTAAGGAATGTATGGTACAACTAAATCAAAACTGAGAGAGAAGGAATGAAAAAAAAAATTAACATATACATATGTGGCGGCACCAAAATCTTTTAAGTGCTTAGGACCTCTAAAAGTCTTAACCTGGCTTTGGTTGGCGCCATCTAATTAGATCAGAGGTTCTCAACCTTTTTAGCTACATGCATCCCTTTCATCATTGCTAGATTATTTTCCCCTTCCTTTCCAAAACTCGAAAAATACATTTATAAATTTGTTTAAATTTAGATTAGTTTTTTTAATTATTTTATAAATTACACAAATGTTGAAAAATACCAAAACTTTAAAAAAAGTTGTATTTTATATTAAAAAATAATAAATAAAAGGCTGACTGCACTCCACCCCTGAAGCTATAAAATCCCCCTCCCAAATCTGAGGAACTCCGAGTTACAGTTTACACCAACATTTAAGCTTGGCACTAAACGGCACCCAACAGGAAAGCACCAGATAAACCTGTACCTGTTTAACTAAATGCTATCATCATAACTGGATGGGATTTTTAATGATATCTGAAAAATGAAAAAATTACCATAATTGACGGCATATAAGACACACTTTTTTCCCTAAATTTGGTCTCAAAAAAGTTACCTGCATCTTATACGTGAAGGTAATTGCATTCAATAATTGTTTATTTGGCTTTTACAAAACATGAGAACTAAAAGAAAACACGCTAATGAAACCTTTTTTCCTTGCGTGTAGCCGTCTAAATAAGGGTGCGTCTTATATGCCGTCAAATACAGTATATCAATAAGGATCCAAATATAAAATTTAGAAAATTCTAATGTTTTACCTTGAAAACAAATACTATCTCCAAAATTAAGAGCTCTGTCAGATATAACCCTTCTTATCAGAAAAACCACCTGACATTCAGCTAGAATCTACAAACCTTTAACAGAAATTGCAGAACTTCCTGTGAACTTCTGTGTATTCTATGAATCAGCTGAACTTACAAGAAGGAAAATTTAAAGGTGAAAAAAAAATTCCCCAGTTACCTGACAAGATATACATAATAATCTATTTCAGTAAATAAATAAATCAGACACTGAAAATACACAGAAGAAAAATTACTTCAATAGGAGTAGGTGGTGAAGATGAATCCTGGTCTTGATGCTCTGGTAATAGTGTATCATCTTCTGGCGAAGATGCACACAATTTCAAACAATTACCCATAGCAATACACAAAAAAGAATAAAAAACTTTTGACTGATATACAGAAGTTGTTCTTTTTCTGTGTCATCTCAGAAAATTCCAAAAATTATGTTAGTCTTGTAAAATAACCTGAAATATTAAAATATTTTAGTTAACATTTTCATGCTCAGAAAGCAATTTAAATAGCTGTGTTTAACATTTAATAATTTCAATGCTCAGTTAATAAAAAACATCTCTAAATACAAAATTTTGTAATTACAGTAACTTTTCATCATATGCATACACTGAAGCTTCTCTCAAAAATTTTGTTGGAATAATATTCATTAATATATTTCAAGTAATAAAATGAAAATATGATAAAAAATAATAAATGTATTACTATGCATACATGACATCATTCAACATGAATATTTCAGCAGACAAATATTTAGCTAGTAATATACATCAAATGATATTAAACAGCAAATAAAATTTAATCTGCTAACATTTATTAAGATGCAACAATCATGAGATATAAACTAAAGAATTTAAAAGGTAATACTTGTAGATATACATTAAAAACTAAAAACTCAATTATAAAATTATTGATACCTTTTCTTTAGTAATTCATTGCATTTTTTTGTAATATTATCAGATTTTAAGGCTAAAATTATTTAACAGAGCTAAACACATTCTGGAAAATGCATGAAAAAATACTGCTGAATTTCTAAAATAAAAACAGTATAAGAACCAAACTCAAATATACTTTTTGTTTTTATAGTATCCAAACATATAACTCTTGCATCAAGTAAGTCAGAAGTTATACAGTCATCAGACGTTTATAACTCCTGAAAATAATATCAAACATTTTAAATGTATTAAAACCATAAAACATGCTTCTTTTGAAGTATATGTTTATCTAATCTTCTTTATATACTACACACCTGTTTCCAAAAATAAAATTTTAAGCTTAAAAGTTAACTTTTTGTAATGGTTCAATACTGATACTTTTTAAATATGCTGTCCCTACAGAACACGAAAATCAGGCCACATATCTTCAGAGACTATTCTGATACATGCAAAAATATCTGTAATAAATGCAATATGAGCATTTGTGACATTTCTTGGACAATGAAAATCATGTGTTTAATCAATCAAAGCAATAAACTGCACTGCATATATAATGCAGAAAAGATTTATTGTTGATTAAACAGAGACAAATGGGAAAAATATTTCATGAGGACTTCCATCTAATGTTCATAAATTGTCTTAACAAATCCATTCTCAGCCCCATGAAAAAGCTGCAAATTCAATGGTGATTTTATAAATTGGTGAAAATGCCTGTTTGATTAATTTTAGGGCACACAGGTACTGTACTATTCATAAATAATAATAAAAAGAAGTACTTTAAAAGAACCATGAAATTTTATGACAAAAACAAAAATTTGTACAACCAATACAGTAAACTCCCGATTATCCGCGCCTGCCGCACAAAGTTTTTTTTTACAAGGGTAAAGCAAAGAAAATAAAAATGCTCACGAAACTGAGTGAAACGTTAAATTTGCTAACATCGTGCTTATTTATGGCCAAAATATCCCAGGCCTTCTCGGAACCTTCCCCTCTGATGAGTAAGTGATTTCTTATTCACCCTTGCAGTGTCCGCTCCAACCCCTCTCTCTTTACTGACACATCCACTTTCTCCCACTCGCCATTGTTAGTTTAAGACTGATGGTGTCTGCGAACCGGTCGGAGTTAATTTCTTATCTTTTATTGTATTCAGTGCTTGTGCTTTTTGGTTTTGTTTTTTCGTTACCGATTTAAAATGTCAGGAAAACGAAAGAAGGTTGTGTTGACGATTGCGCAAAAACTAGAATTAATTTCCAAAGTAGCAAACGGTGCTGCAAGGCAGCAGATGGATTTGGATTACGGAATCGTGGAAACAACAGTGCGTGACATTCTAAAGCAAAAAAGACAAACTGGTGAACTTTGCATCAATGTCGGACAGTGCTTCCGCAATGAAAACGCGAAAAACTATGAAGGGAACTATGAAAACACCTTTGATGAGCTAGACACGGCATTGACAGAGTAGTTATGTCAAGTTCGAAAAGAGGGTACTCCTGTAAATGGTCCTATCACACTGTGGCGAAGGCACAAACCACTTTTGAGTTTTTAGGCCTGAAAGGAAATTTTGATGTGTCTTCTGGCTGGGTGACTCATTTTAAGCAGCGACATGGAATTCGAGAAATTGAACTTCATGGGGAGAAACTTAGTGGTGAGCAACAAGACGCCGACGATTTCCACCATGAATTTGAAAAATTTGTTTTAAAAGAGAAGAGCTATTGTTTGAACAAATTTACAATGCCGACGAATCGGGACTTTTGTGAAAATGTCTTCCCACTTTAGCATTTGAAAGTGAAAGTAAAGCGGCGGGTTATAAAAGCAGCAAGGAAAGGATCACTATCATGTTTTGCAGTAACGCTACCAGTGGATATAAACTTAGACTTGTTGTCATTGTCACTCAAGTCAAAAAAAGAGATCTTTCAAAGGCACAACAATAGAAAATTTGCCCGTTGATTACTTTAACCAAAAAAAAAAAAAAAAAAAAAGGATGGATGAACCGAAACATTTTTCAAGAATGGTTCGAAAAAATCTTTGTTCTTCAAGTGCGTAAACATCTTAAATCGAAAAACCTGCCTGAAAAAGCTGTGCTATTGATAGACAACGCACATTCTCGCCCAGCAACAAGCACGCTAAAGTCTTCTGATGGACAAATTTTTTTCAAAGTTTCTCCCCCCAAATGTTACTGCGCTAATCCAACCCATGGACCAAGGAGTCATTGCAACAATGAAGAAAACATACCGAACCAAGCTGCTAATGACCAAAATTAAAGAAGGTTATGATCTGAAAGAGTTTTGGAAACACTACACAATCTTGGACAGCATCTACGATATTGCATCTGCATGGGACTCAGTGAAACTGTCAACCCTCGTAAAATCATGGAGAAACCTCATGGCTTATGTTGAAGCCGACAACAACCTAACCCCTTTGAGTTGTGAAGAAGAGAATGAAGAAGTAGACACGTCCACGGCAACTCTTGCCGACATGGTGAAAACAGTTCCGGGTGGTGAGAACGTCGAAGCTGAAAACATTAACGAGTGGTTGGAGTGTGACGTCAACGAACCTGGCTTCGAACGCTTGACAGATGACGAAATTGTGAAGAAAGCAAGGGAAGAGACCGAGAATGAAGGAGAGCGAAGTGAAGGCGAAGAAGAGCCCACTGTGCAGATGTGGAAGACTCACAAAGTGGCTTTGCAACAAGTTGACGGGCTGCTGAGCTATTTGGAAGAACAAGATGACGCGGAGTTGGCCGAGAAACTTATGTTACGAAATATGCAATCTCGGATCAAGAGAAAATGCTTCCAAAGCAAGAAGAAAACACAAATGAATGATTTCTTCTAAAAGGTGTAGTTTTACAGTTATGCTTTTGTAATTACATAATACATTACAGTATTAAAACAATACATATGTTTTAATTTTTCTGTGTATCCTTGATGCCTCTCGTAAGAACACAGCACTTTTCTGTTTTCATTAACAAAATGCATTTTAGGTTAGTTTTGAGTGATATACTAAAATATTAAGCATTAGTTAAACATTTCCTGCTGTTTATTTTACATTTTATTGCACATAAAAAGATTTTTCAAAGTTGGAATGACTGTTTTCTCTTTTGCTATACCCGTTTTTAGCTTTTTTCGGATTATCCGTGTTTTTTGTTATACGCGGCGACTGCGCCACCAAATTCCGCGGATAATCGGAAGTGTACTGTATTTATATTCTTATAGTTGATGGACATTGTTCAGAGAAATATACACTTTTCAATGAAATGTTTAAATATAAATCATTCAAATCAATATCTACTCGAACACATATGTAGTACACACATGTGCAGGTCAGCTGTTGTTACATGTATAATCGAACACAGACTAAAAACACAGAAATTCCTATTATGTTTCAGTGTATTAAAACTGGAGAGTGGGATGCAGATAATCAGAAAGTACACGTGATTCTGCCGAGTTAAAATTTTTATATTTGTAAGAACTTGTGCATTAGATACTTTTTGGCTAACTATTCAAACTCAACTGCATCTGTTAAAAACCTTTTGTGGTCAAAATAACTTCATATATAAATAAAAAAGAATCAGACAGCTAAACTATGATGCTGATAATTAGTATACACCAAAGATAAGTCAAAATGTATCACTATCTGCGAGCATACTCAATATCTTCAGAAGCAAAGAAAATGAATATGGTACAAATGCTTCCGAGTAAATTATTTTACTCCGAAATTATGTAAAAACGCAGTGCTTTACTTCGCTAGTGCATTTCTCATTAGAAGTGATGAATTTAACCCTTGACTTTCCCTTTCTATGCCTTCGGGTGAGCGGTGTGATTGCATCCTAATTGACTTAATTACTGCGAATGGTCTTAGGGCATAAAATTTTAACTATCTTGTAAAAATTCAGCTGTGATTTGTTTTGAAAATGAAGGGTAAAAGGTTACCAGCAAAGATATTCCATTTGGCATCAGTTGTACCATTATTGGCGACTTTATCGTTTGTGCCAGCAAAACGGAAAAGTACCATTAAAACTTTAATTTTGGTTAGACTGCAGCAATAACAGTCTGTAAAAAATAATAAACTGGATCAAATAAGAAAGCTAAGGAAGAGTGCAATTTGCAATGCTCAGTTTCTTAGAATCTAATTTTTTCCCCCATTCTCTGCTGCTGCAAAAGAAAACCAGTATGTGTCACATTCCACTCCAGACAAGTGTGGCCATGGCTAATACCAATCAATATACTGTCAATGGCCATGGTGAGATTCCCTAGCTAGCGGGTGTTTGATAGTGACATACAAGAATCTCGATTAGTTGGGAGAAAAAGTGTTTTTACAGCACACTTGCTTTTTCTTAAATATTATATTCTGTGCTGCCAGACTTTTGTAAATAAATTAAAAAAAAAAACAGAGAAGTATCCTCAAACCTTCTTTTGCTGGTCCTGATATTAGAGGACATCACACATGTTGGACATTCAGACTTCGTACTGCACAGGTTTCCATTCAGTTACATAATTATTAGGAGTAAAACTATATGCATCTGTATCCTTATTAAAGCCCAAATAAACAATACAAAACAGAGAATCTTCTGAGTCACAGTAAGTTAGGTAATTTTGTGACATCCCATTATTTATTGTTAACACCTTTTAGTAATTTTATTTTACCAAGACTTTTGGATGATATTTAAAATGTATTTAATTCATAGTGCTTTGTCTTCTAAATCTACCTCTTGTATATTTATTAAGGAAATCATTAGCAGATTCCATTTGTTGCATGCCACTCACTGAAATTCATAGCTCTTGTAATTTAGTTGCTTGGTCTTCAATTATTTTTTTCCTGGTGAAATATTAGTGAAAAAAAATACTACTGAGTTGAACTTCCTTTGCACTGGTGCTAACAGTCCCTTAGCATGCAAATACTGCAAGCGAGTACATTCCCCCCCCATTTCATCTGCTTTTATTTATTCTTTCTGTTCCTCTTTTCTTTTTCCTTTTAAAATCAAGATTTTCAATTTCCATGTTAACTAAAAACTAAGAGAATGCCAATGGAGCCAAAAAAATATCTCGGAAAATACATTGTCAAAAAATACAGTAGAATGTTATAATTATTAAACAAAATTAACCCTCTTATAACAAACACCTCCTTAAGATTACCACCTCTGAAATTGATCAGTATTTCTAAGAACCTAGATAAATACTAATACTGACACATGAACTCACTGAGATGACAACCTCCACAGCAGACCAAAATATAGCACCATGTATGGTCATCTTTGACAAGGTTTGCAGCACATAATTTATTATAAAATATATAGTAATGTTCCTTCACACCGGATATAACCATATATAATAATGACTGTACTTTTTAAAAATATATTAATAAATAATATTCTTTACTTTCTATGTATTACAATAAACTTAATACTTTATTAACTATATATTACAATAAAAACAGCAAAACTTTTTGTGACTACTATTTTCCTAAGGAGACACCTCAGAATGTGATAATTATTTCTGAGAGTGAAAGCAAACACGTTTCTTGAGCAGCACCTTTTTAAGATGATTTATTCTACAGAAAATGAAAGACAACTAGAAACATTGTGATCATTTCAGAGAGGGTTTGTTAAATTTAGTTTTTCATACATGAATTTTTTTTACAATAAAAAGTCGGTACAACTCTGATATACGCCCTAATTTCACCAAATGTGGCGATATGTGTTCTGCGCTGGTTTTTGGCACGATTGCATGTTGTATGGCAACCCTGTTGACGTTGAAAAATCTTTCGCTGGAGTTCGTTGGTTCCGGTCATGCTTTGTGTCTGAGAAGCTAGGGGGGAGGGGAAGATTTAATGGTGAAAGTTGTTGAATTGAAGTTTGGCATAAGGAAATATCGTCGTGGCCATCCTGTTGAGGGGCAATGGGTGGGTATTTGGAGGTGTGGAAAGAAGGTATGGGAGATTATTTTTAGTGGCTGTGCGTGATAGAAGTAGGGATTTGTGATTATTTGTTATTTTATTTATTTTTGAACCATAGTATGAATTTTCTGGATATGTGTCTGGCTGTCATTATAAATACGAATAGTGATTATGTGGCGGCATGTTAAAGGCGGTATGAATGGTATTTCTGCTGTTCAAAAAGCATTATGGTAAGTGCATTTTATTTTATTCTGTTCTTATTTTGTAGAATGTTCATTGTTTTTTTTAGTATGAATTTCTGTCGTAATTGTTGTTTTTTTGAATTGTTTGAAATTTATTTTAGTTATTTTGTTGATTAGTACGTACCGTCTAATTGTGCAATCGTAGATGTTTTTAAGTTGAAACAGGATGCTGTGTACATGGTATTCTTTGAAATTTATTGTTATGTTAATTTATTAAAGCGAGTGTGCTTAGTTGTAGTCTTTTGTTGCCTAAATTTTGCAATTCGTAGATGTTTTTTTAGTTTAAACAGGATGCTGTGTACATGGTATTCTTTGAAATTTATTGTTATGTTAATTTATTAAAGCGAGGTGTGCGTAGTTTGTAAATTCATTCATTGCCTAGATTGTGCCATTCGTAGATGTTTTTTTTCAAGTTAAAACGTATGGCTGTGTACATGGACTCTTGTCAAATAATTTTGGTTAGAAACTTCACAGTTTTGCTATCTAAATTTTTTGTTTCGGATTTTTAGCTTAAATTGTGTGTTCAAAACGTGGTTTTTGCATTCGCGAAAACCATGTTTTTGGAGACATTTTGGGCTTAAAAGTTCGGAATGTAGACAAAAAATTTAGATAGCAATATGGTAGCGTGGAGTTTCTCGCCAAAAATATTTAACGAGAAATTTGGCGCCTTGAGGGCGCATATCAGAGTAGTTCCAAAGAGTCAATAGACCGGTTACTTTCATTTAAAAATCAATCTGCTATAAAAATGCTCATGGTTAATATAATCCTATTCTTTCACTGCACTGGTATTTCGGTCCAACTTTCGAATACCGGCGAATTTTAACATAGGAATTCTTTTAAAAACGAACAATTAAAAGCGTGCTTCAGCCCACTCAGCTGGCGGGCTTGCCTGCTAGTCTATACTATTAAAATCTGCGTGCATCTGCCTATTTGCTTGTAACATCATCTTCTCCAGAAGAGAAGGCAGCCGAGTTTTGAGAGTCATACACCCTGCTTCCAAAAATTTGTGGGAAGGCATTTTGACCATTCTGATCTTCGTACAACTTTAATCAGCTGATATATTAATTAAAAACTCTGAAAATGCTTAAGTTTTACAAAATGTGAAATAAAATTAGCATTGTCAAATGTTAAACATATTATTATTATATAAGGTCCTAGGTCATATTCAGACGCTGAAGAAAGCATACAACATGATTGCATGCCAAAAATATTTTGTTAATGTCATCATTTTAAATAAATAGTTGCTGTTGACAACTTTGTTTTTTGTTTCAGGTTAGGATAGCTGACATGATATGTTATTGCCACATTAATTATAATACTGATATAGGAAAAACAGTTGTATTAAATTTAAATCATGACATTATACATATTAACTTGAAGTGTCAAAAGTCATTGTTCCATGGCTTGGAAACAAAAAATTTATTTACAAATTGGTTGTTGCTTAGAAAGAATGAACTGATTTTATTCATGCTGAAATGTTTTTATGCATTTTCTTTTCAGGTGTGCATAGAACTTACATAAATTTTGTTTTGGCAGCATCCAATATACACATTGTTTAATGTGTGCAATATCAAAGCTATGCAAAATACCTAAATTGTGCAATAATTTAATGTTTTCTTTTATAAGCGAAAACAGGTTATCAGGTACAGGAGAAGACGATGCCTAGACATAATAAAACACTGAATAGCTGTACAAATAAAACTCTGAACAGCCATTCATCACATGATACATATGATTTAAAAAAATTTGGAATAGAAAAATTCTATATGATGAATCAAAAACTAATCAAAGTAATATTCATTTTAAATGTACGCTCCACATAATTTTCAAAGCTAAAGGAATGACTTAAATTAATGCCTAACAAACTAATATAGTCTTGCTTCAACATAATTGGTTCTAATTATTTTAAAGCTGTCTTACTGAATAATTTAGAATCAATACAAATTAAATAACAGAATTTTTTAAAAGCAAAGGTAATTTGTGCATAAAAAAGTAAAATAAGTAGTGCAAATGCATAATAAAACTTATTAATTTATGATTACAATTTCCAACAAATTCTAATAACATCATCCAGCAATACAGTTCACTGGAATATTTTTGTAGGCATATTTTACCAGGGTTTTGGGAGAATATACTTTATCAGGGTTTTGGGAGGATATACTTTCAGATTGAGATATTTTTTGCAGTCATGTTTTTTAAATATTTCATCTCTGATGCTTTTTCTGAGCATCAAGAAACACGAGAAATATGTCTGAAAGCTAAATATTTTATTGGCTTAAAATCTGTATGTTATATGATGATTTATTTATTCTTTCTACTTAAGTTACAGCAATAACAATGTTTTCAATAAAAAGTTACCAAAAGTATATTTATTTCTGCTTATTATCTGCACCCGAAATTTAAAGCTCAGGTCATAATTTTGAACCTAATAATTAAAATATAGATATTAAAAAGAGGGGAAACAGAGTTTATCAGGGTTTACCTTTTTATAAATTATGAAAAATTACGTAATTATGCAGGAATATAATTAAATCATAAATAGCTTCAAAATATGCAAAGAATAAGCTTAAATGTTAAAAAAAATAAAAGGCATATAAAATTTCCATTGATAGTAAAAGGGAAACATTGCTAAAATAATATGCAATAAAAATATGAAATATTTCCAAATAACAACACTATTAAAGAACAATAATAACCAAAACACAGGAACAAAAATAATAAATCTAGGCATTAATGATTTTTACTAAATCATGGTAAAATAGCATGCAATAATAATCATAAATAGACCTTTATACTGGAATAAAAACCTTAATTATTAACTAAGTAAATAAAAGAGTAACTAAGTAAATAAAATCGATGAACCGCAATAAAATACCTAAATTCATGATATAAAATTATTCCCTTAATCTTAATTTTATGCTTTTCTTTAAAAAGAGTAAATATCAATATATCTCAAACAATAACCTTGAATATCAAACATAATTAACAGGTTGTCATTCATGAAAATATTGGTCTAATCTTAATATTATACGTATCTTCCACGATAAATAAATACTAATTTAACAAAGATGATATAGACAAATATTCTGCAAATAACACACAATACCTCTGACTTCCGAGGTATGCATATTTGAAATAAACATATCTACACAAATAAACATTGCGTCGAACATAACACAAGAGATGCTGCCATTCTCAACTTCTACATGTGATATCCGCATTAAGCAGTCAAGGTTTAATCACGTTTTTAATGCCTTATACATTTAAGGTACAACCTCGAGTTTTTAATAAAAACAACAAAAGCTGTATATAAATTTTCAATCCACAAGCAATATTTAAAAATTAATTTGCTTAAATAACTATTGAACTTTAATATGTTTAAACTGTAGCAGCAGAACTTCGAAGCTGCAAACTGCTCAGCTCAGCTCAGCTTTTAAAGGATAGGGAGTGTTCACTCTTAACGTCGAGTTGATTTCAAGAATTCGGACTTCATTGTTTCCTTTTAAAAAGCCTCTTATATGTCGGTCACAAAAGTATTCGAACACCGGTACCCTATCAGAAAATGACAAGATGGCGTTTTTTTCTCTTTCTCTCTGTGTGTCGTGTTATTCCATCCTAGGTTTTCTTCTCCCCCCATCTTGGAAAAAACTGGAAAAAATTGGTTACGATCTCTTTTTGAATGGGGAGATGCCATTTTGAGAAAAAGCTGACGACCCTATCTTGGAGAATGAACATGACCGCTCTACACACACTTTCTCTCTCTCTCTTTGAATTGGGAAGCCATTTTGGGAAAAAGCAGACGACCCTATCTTGGAGAATGGAAATGAACGCCTCTCCCTCTCTCTTTGAAATGGGAAGCCATTTTGGGACCCTCTATTCTTGGGGAGGGAGAAAACTGAAGTCTGCATTTCGCTGTCTCTTTTGGGAAAAGCGGACCCTCTTCTTCTGATCTTGGAGAACTGGAAATGAACGCTCTACACGATCTCTCTTTGAATTCAGAAGGTATTTTGGGACCTTCTAATGTTGGAAAACTGAAATGAACGCTCTACGCATTTTCTCTCTCTCTCTCTCTTTGAGATGAGTAGCCATTTTGGAGGATTCTCCACCACCATCCTAACCTTGGAAAACTGAAATGAACGCTCTACACCTCTCTCTCTCTCTCTCTCTCTTTCTCTGAAATGGGTAGCCATTTGAAAACTCCCTAACTTTGGAAAAAAACAGAAATGAACGCTCTACACCATCTCTCTTTGAAAATGGGGGGGTGTCATTTTGAGACCTCCCTCCCCTAAACTTGAAAAAAAAACTGAAATGAATGCTCTACACTTTCTCTCTTTGGACATGGGTAACCCTTTGGGGACCCTCTCCTCTTGGTAGAAAAAAAAAGAACTGAAGTGAAAGCTCTACACAATCTCTCTTGGAATGGGATCCATATTTCGGGAAACGTGGATCACCTCATGCTGGAAAACTGAAGTGAACCACCAAGATTGGACTCTATATAATATTTTTTTTTAATTGACATCATGACCCTCCTCCAATTTGTTATTAAAAAAATTTTTTGTTTTGTTTTGGTTTTTATCCCATTTCCGATGTGATTTCAGAAATGCAATTCCATAACAGTTCAATTTCATTCGAGGTTAAATGATCTAAACAGTCTTTGACCCACCCATCCGTATGATTATTTTCTTCTCCTTCCTGTTGCACCAAATTTTGTAAGTCCATATAATCATTCCATACGGGAAGGGCTGGATCCTCACAAGGCTGTCTTGAAACACTTGGAGTCTCTTTGGGATGAGTGGAGGGATCTAGGATGTCTGGACCCGGCTGCGATTCTACCTCCATGATTTCTGGACCCGTTGGAACTTGTTTACCCGGCTGAAATTCTACCTTCATGATTTCTGGACCCGTTGGAACTTGTGAACCCGGCTGTGATTCTGCCTCTACGATGTCGGGACTTTTTGAAGCTTGTGGACCCGTCTGACATTCTACCTCTACGATGTCGGGACAGGTTGGAGGAGAAGAAGAAGAAGAAGAGGATACTGGAAGAGATTCTGTCTGTGAGGAGTCCGAAAGAGGTTGCCTGTTTGAACAAGTCGGGGAAGAAGAAGAAAAAGAAGGAGAAGCTTCTGGATTCTGAAGCGGATCTTGCACGCCAGGTAGGTTCCGGTAAGTCGACCGTTTTTTAAGAGGTAATTTTTTTTCTTCCTCCTCATCTTCAATTGTGATGACTTCAATTTCATTCCGTTGCCGGGTCGATTTTGTTTCGGGAAATGACGGTTTGGTCCAGCTCCTCTTATCATCTAAGGAAGGGATGGGTAAAGGTGGCGGAGGGTTTTCTTCTTCTTTTTCTTGAAACATCATCGGCGATTGGAAAGAAATCTCCTCTTTCAATTGTTTCCAAAGCGAGTACGAGCACCGATCGACGAGAAAGAGACTCTTCTGGGTTGTGACGATGAGATATTGCGTTTTCGGGGGAACGACATAGTTTTGAAAAGGTCTTAGAATATATTTCTTATATTTCATCCTGTCGCTGACTTTAAAACTTCTTTCCTTCAGATTGGGGGACGATGATTCGTAATAGGCGAGAGGAGCGGCTGTGGTTTGAACAATATGAACTTCGTCCTCAGCCGTCGTTCTCACTCCAAACGTAAAATATCGTTTCGTGAGAAAAATATTCTTCCACCGAAAACTCGTGCGCGGATCTGTATATCGCCGGTCTGTTTGAATGGGCCGTCTCAAAGCTCGATCCATCCGATTCCAAGAGAAGGGAGATTCCTCTTTCGTTTGTTGCGATTCGAATAAATTTCTGTATATATTCTGAACGAGCAGGTTGGAGGATTCGACATCTTGGTTGAAAGAAACGATCGCTTGATGAGGTGGTAAATGCGGAATAAATGTCGCACAATGACACGCCAAAAAAATTTTCAAGTTGGAGATTTGCTTTAGCGTCTTCAAATCCTCCCCGTTCGAAATCCGTTGAGTTGGAAAAACGTCTAATAGCGACATGGCTCCCAATGGAAAAGAAATGATCTCGCCCAGTACTCTCGTCTTTTTATATATCTATATAGACACACACAGACACACATAGAGGCTCTATGACGTCCGTTTTATTTGTTTTTTTTTTTTTTCTCTCTCTCTCTCTTCTTTCCAAGAAATCTTATCTCCATGACCTCTTTTTCTTTTCTTAAAAAGATGAATGTGTGTGGGAATGAGGAAGTGAAAGTAATAATTTAATAAACAAAAAATTATCCAACCATGACCTTCTTTTTTTTTTCAAAGTCACCCTTTCCAATCCAAGGACGTCCAGAGATAGAGGAAGCAGGGAGAGAGGAGGAGGAGGGAAGGGAAGGTCACACTCTCTTTCTCTCTATAAATAAAAGGGGAGAGCCCCAAAGTCGTATTTTTGTCCAAGTGGATCATGAGGAGGCATCCCCAGCTCACTACGTGTATTCCTTTCAAATATAAATATGTTGATCTTTCCTTTTATATCATCCAAGGAGTCGTTTACCTGAAAGCCTCCGATTTTTCAAAATGTGCGGGTTATTATACCGTGGGGAGTTATCAAAAGATGCGGGACGAATTTTTATCCGACGAAAACGTGTTGATGGCTCGTGACATTCCACCTTTGGATGCACAAATTTTGTTAATGAAACGAGCCAATATTTTTTACACGTCCCACTTTCTAACCGTCTCGCAAATGAATAGGATTATGGATCGTCTTGAGAAGACAAAAGGGATTCTCGTTCATTTTAGTGAATGGTTGCACAAATGTTTGCACGAACCTCTCTCGATCGAGAAGACTGGGAAGAATACCTATTATATTCTTCTCGAGGACTCTCCTCCTTCGTCTCATCATAGAGAGGCCACGACTTTTGAAAAAATCCTCGAGCAAGAAAAAATAGAATGGTGGAACAACTACCCCATCCCTCTCCCCGAGCATCAAGAGGAGCCTGTTCAGAAGAAAAAGAAAAAACCTTTCCAAAAGCCTATCCTCATCCTCCTCGATAATGATGGGGATGAGGAGAAGCCTGTTCAGATTCCTCTCCGTTTGTCAAAACCCGTCGAGGATGAAAAACCTCTCCCTTCCTCAAAACCCCTTGAGGAAGAGAGACCCCTCGAGAAGGAGAAATCTCTCCCATTGTCAAACCTCCTCGAAGATGAAAAACCTCTCCATTTATCAAGACCCCTCGAGAAGGAGGGACCTCTTCCTTTATCAAACCCCCTCGAAGATGAAAAACCTCTCCATTTATCAAGACCCCTCGAAAATGAGGGACCTCTCGATTTGTCAAAACCCCTCGAGGATAAGGGAACCAAAACTTCTCTCTCTTTCGAAGAGGAGGGACCTCTCAATTTGTCAAGACCCCTCAAGAATAAGGGAACCGAAAATCCTCTCCCTTTCTCAGACTTCTCG